TATATCTTGTACAAAGTTATTTAGTTTTAGTTTTTTAATCCTAAATTGTTTTAAAAATTTCCATTTTTTCTAGAATTAAAATTCTAAACAATTCTGAAAAATTTAAAAACTTAACAGTTCCTGAAATTTTAGAAAAACTTGTATTTTTGAATATAGCTACTAAAAATCAGATACTTTTTCTGTACTTCTTATTTTTTACATCTTGAAATATAAAAAATAAATATATAATGCAATAAGCAAAAAACAATCAAATAAGAATCTAGCGCAGAAAACAGAGCGCAAACAAATAAAAAAACCAGAATCTTCATAAAAATAATTCTTCATGAAAAGTCTTCATAAAAAATAAACTTTTTTCGTTTCTTTTATTTAAAAAATTTAAGTCACATATATAAAAAAAAATAAAATATTTCTTTATTTTATACATTTATCAAAAACCGGAAACTTTTAAAAGTATATGTAGTTCCCAATATCATTATTTTATGTTCTTTTCATGTAGAAGTCTTTTCTAGAGCACAATAGTGTCTGACTGTTACAAGAGAGGAAATAATGTCTCGTCGAAACATTCCATTGAGATCTATATCGCATGTTTTGTGTCTGTGACGGCAATTCGATATGCAACAATCTCTGTATCAATCTCATCTTCTCGCGAATCACGTTCTCAATAATAGACGCGACTAGAAAGAAGAACGATTCATTTCAATTAGTTGCGGACGACGCGCAAAATTACTTGAAGCAAAAAAATAAAATGGGATTATTGAGAATAACTGAGTAGTAGTCTTTATATTTCAGAGTATATTTTTTATAACAAGTTTTATAATCTAGATGGAATATTTTAAATTCGTTTTATAATAATCAAATTTTAATTACATACCAAATTAAATGAAAATCTATATAATTCTTGTATTATGTGTTTGTGTATAAGATTCTGGTGTGTGTATTGCTAGAAAATTATATATGTATATTGCAATAAAAAGATGTATTGAAAAATTATAATTTATCAAAAATAATACATATTTATATCCCTAAAAAATTATTGTGTTGTAAGAATTACTTTGTCTTAACTTTAATACTATTAATCGTATTATAAAAATAATTGCGTTAGTTTAAATTTATATTTTATTATACACAATATTAAATTGAGTGTACTTCATCCATTATGATTACGTGTTATCGCATTTGGTATTGGAGCAAAGTCACTAGGATTCAACCTGGATTTTGTCTCCTAAATGTTCTTATTTCTATTATACACCTCGACATTTTTATCGAGGGAAAATAGATTCCAAACAGTCTAAAAAGAACAATTGTCATTTTTGAAATACTGTATTGTACGCTTTTTTAATAGCCGATTCGCTTGTCAATTAACGAGAAATGAAACCGATGTAATACCCAACAAGATTCGCATATTGTGAATGAAAGTGGAGCAACAGACCATAAGTTTCCGCGAGGTTCAACAAGAACATCTCTTTGCCGCAGGCGAAATTTCGCCTGATAATTCTCTCACGGTGGAATTCTGCCGCTGTAATTACATAAGTTCACCATTACGCGATTATACCTTGCTCGGAATGCCCAGAGTTCACGTGGGAAAACGCAACGTTTAACAGGTTATTTTTGTATCAAAGAGCCGACATGTAATCCGAGTAATCGATTTCACAAGATCCATTATTGACTGCAATTTAATTGAATCGAATTATCCATTCTTTACCATATTATTTGTAATAGAACTACACATTGTATAACGTATTCCATCGCTATAGAATTAAAGCGCATTATATTCGAAATAAAACCTTTTTAAATATTTTCATTTAACAATTTTATATTATTTAATAATATTTTTAAAAATATTAATGCGCCACTATCTCACAATCGCAAAAATTCCAAATGCAGAAATATTATAATTTGAGGAATTAAGAAAGCATTGGCTGAATGCTATTTACAACAATTTCAATTATAATAAAATTATAATTTAATTGCATTAACAGAAATAAAATAATATATCTAAATGCATATAGATGTAAATTAAGCACATATAGATATAAATTACAATATATACAAGTAAAAAAAAATAAATAATATTATTTTTATAAATTTTATATTTTAATGTTCATAAAAAAAGACAATAATTATTTCCACAAAAACCTTTTCTTTCTACGACAATTCTTATTTAAAAAATTGTACTATTTGTATCATTGTCTGACATTATCCTCGCTTGTTGTTATCCACTCGCTTTAAAAAGACGGGAAAGAGAATTGGGCCACAAAAGCGTTAAAGATATTTCCCTCGAGATACCAAGTAACGAGCACCGTATTAAGACGCAGCTTTAGACTGCGAGATTACGCGATGCGAAATAGGGTCGCGATTGTCTTGCATTCCCGGTTGTCCCGCGCGTGCGTGTCCATATACAGGGTAATCCGTAGCGGGAAAACGCGAGTACTTGATTTAGATAGAGCTTAGAATTAATTTTAAGATGTATTTCACATTGCGAGAAATGACGCGATCTTGTAAACTATTCTTTATATTTAAAATTGTCTCTAGTGTTTCTATCTCTCTCCACTAAGTATAATAAATAATAAAACACAAAACTAAAAAAATCGCGAATAAATAACTTGATAAAATTAATGAGCTTGAATAAGTCTATAATAAAGAGAGAGAAATTTAAATTTTTTGCTGTATTGAAAAAATATTAAATCTATAAAATAAACATATTATATAAAAATAAT